CAGTTATAGAGTAGCAACGAAAATAATTTTATGGTTGGGGGTCACCACAACATGAGGAACTGTATTAAGGGGTCACGGCATTAGGAAGGTTGAGAATCCCTGCAGTAGAGAGTGTAATTGAGGAAGCAGAGTTTAAAAAGAAACAGAAGGAACTGGGATTTGAAAACAGGTGAAGAAAGTATGTTTGAAAAAGAAGGGATAAGTCATCTCTTAAGAAGAGAAGAAAAACAAGTTGGGAGGCCCATAATTGATGTCTTGTCATTATGTACCGCTTAAAATTTAAGACCGTTAGTGAAGAATGGTGAAATCTGGAGAAAATTAGAACTGTAAACATATTAAATAGGCCCAAATATTGTAGAATTGCAATAAATTGTAACCATACTTGAAAATTAGATGCTTTTTTTAAAATTACTTTTAGACAAATCTTATTAAGTTTGCTGTGAAGAAAGTGTTAGCTAAGTCATTACAGCAAAACTAAAGTGACTTGAAAATGTATTTTTCATGTATCCCAGATTATACATGCCTCTATCCATCTTTCTAAATATGGCTTATTTTTCCTGATTTTTCTAGTCAAAATTCTACTCATCTTTTGAGACCAGCTCCATTGCCATGTACCTTTGTGAAGCTGTTTGACACCAAGCACAATTAATTGCTTTCTTCTTTACTCCTCTAGACCTTACTTGATTTGCCTTAAGTCGTAGATAATTGTGTACTATCTTAAATCCCGCTGAGTTTTGAAGTATCGGAACTGGGTTTACTCATCTGAAATGCCTCTCAGTCCCTTAAATATAATAGAAATTCAATAATAAGGTTTTCATGAAAGCCATTATTTGAAGAATTCTTTACAGTTGGTGTTAACATCTCCTGAATGGATGCACAAAAATGTAATAATGTTTGTTTATAAAGAATAATTCTTTCTTGGTCTATTTCATATTGTAACAAATGACTTTACAGACTGATGAAGGGGATCAGTGGTCCCCTTATCTGTGAATAGAGTGCTAATGTTAGTAAAGGCTCAAAAACCTTTTTGTTTACTCTAAGGTTTTAAAATAAATATATGCATTTTTAAAGCAGGAGCCATGAATATTCTATATTATTTTTGAAAAATCTTGGTTTTACTACTTGGTAATGCAGAAATTCCAAAGTCTAGATCTTAAATCTGCTTATTTTGAATCTCTTAGCTAAAGGGCAGCTCATGTGGGGACATGTACCCGAAAAGAATAAGTGCATCTTTGGCTGTACTTTCTATTGGGTCGTCGGAAAAGTCATGACATATTTTTCTATGTTTTTCGTTGCAAAAATGTGTCATGACTTTTCTGACGACCCAATAGTTAGAGATACTTACTGTTTAATTTCTATCCATCAATTTGCAGAATTAGGTAGTAAATTCTGCTCCTCCTGTGCAAACCAATGTGAGGATTTGCATTTATATATTCTTAATAAGTGTGTTCCAAATCCATAGAAACTCCATGTTTGAAAAGCATTTAAAGAGTTAGAAAATGGTTTCTGTGTTTTTAAAATATGCAGGTAGAAGTGTTTCAAGATGACGTCAATACGTTATTTTCTTTTTGAATACAATTATTTTCTTACTAAGTTTTAAAATGCCTAATTTACCTTTAAGGCACAGATACATTATAGAAAAACCAACATGTTTTGATTTTTAAAAACAACAGCTAGGTAACATACTGCTAACAGTTATTTACCACAAAAAGTCAGCAAATTTAAACGCTTCTTTTTGTAAAAGGTAAATGTTTCACTCATCTTGAAATTTGGCAACTCTTTTTAAATACTTTGCCACAAGAAAACCAATAAACCTGTTTGGTACAATATATATGGTCACTCGTCAACCACATCAGTAACATTCTATAACACTTGGCTTCAACTTCTTTTTTGCTGCTGTAACCACTGCTTTTGAAATTAAACCTTACTTTCCTCACCCCCAACTTTCTTTTGTTGAGGTCAAAAGTAGCTGCTTCTTGAAGAATTATATAATGCAGTTTTCCTATAAAATATTGTTTCTGTTAAGGAAGTCATTTATAAGAAGTTGAGAATGTAACTTCTCTGGAATATCAATCTCTTATAGCAGCTTATAAAAGGTAGTCAGTTCCTTATTTCATTATTGAAAAAGAATCTCACAAATACTATCACTCTTCTCTCAGAATACTTAGAATCACTTAGTACCAGATGCTTAGATTACTTTATATGATGTGTTACAGTCTGATAGGTGTCCATAATGAAGATGCCAGTGTCATTTTGTATGTTAAGGATAGATATTTATTGTATTACATTGTATTATACTTAAAATACATATGATGTGTGATCAAACAATATGGTGAATGTTTAAATAAAAAAAATATTACAGTAAAAGACACATTGCCATTAATCCCCCTCAAAGTACTCCCCCTCGCTTCAAACACACTTATCTCATCCTTCTTGCCACTTTCTGAAGCTGTTCTGGAAGTCCTCTTTTGTGAGTGTCTTTGCAGTACACAGATGAAAAACAGAAAAGTACTAGCATGCCAGAAACCCCCCTCATATTTACTACTTTATTCATTTCCTCCCTTGTGCATAACCACTACCTTGACTCCTAACTCTAATTCTGCTATGAAGTTCTTTGGTTTGTTTCTTTAAAAATGTTTTCTACTTTATTGAGGTATAATTTCCATGTAATAAACTGCACACATCAAAGTATGCAGCTTTGTAAATTTTCATATACCTGTGAAGCCATCTCGACAATTAACATAGGTAACATTTCCATTATCCTCCGCCGTTTCCTCATACCCCTTCGCAAGTCATCCTGCCTTCCACCTCTGCCTCTGCGCAATCTATCACTATAGATTAGTTATACATTTTCTCAGCGGTTCTCAACCTTCCTAATGCCACGACCCCTAATACAGTTCCTCATGTTGTGGTGACCCCCAACTATAAAATTATTTTCGTTGCTACTCTATAACTGTAATTTTGCTACCGTTATGAATCGTAATGTAAATATCTTTTTGTTTTCGGATGGTCTTAGGCGACCCCTGTGAAAGGGTCGTTCGACCCCCAAAGGGGTCGCGACCCACAGGTGGAGAACCGCTGTATGTTATATATGGAATCATACAGTGTTCTCTCTTGCTTATTCTCTCTTATCTATCTGTATTACTTTCATGCAGAATAATGATTTTTAGATTATTCAGTATTGTTGCTTGGATTAGTTCCTTTTTGTTGCTGAATGGTATTCTGTTACATGTATATACCACATCTTGTTTATTCACCTTGTGATAGATATTTGGGCTGTTTTCATTTCTGGCTTATAGAGCTTCTATGACATTTGTGTACAAATCTCTTCATGGTATATGTTTTCATTTCTCTTGGATATTTATCACAATACCTGTGAGGATATCCTGGGTTATATAGGGAAAAATTTTTTATTATTTTTTAGGAAGCTAGCAAACTTTTCCAAAGCTGTATCATTTTCATACCCAACAGCATTATATGACAATTCTCATTGTTTTACATCCTAACATTTGGTATTGTCAATCTTTTTCATTCTAGCTACTGGAATGGATATGTAGTGGTATATCATTATAGTTTTAATATGCTAATTACAAATAATGTTGGGCAACTTTCCTGTTTTTATTAGCCATTTGGAAAGTGACTACAAGTTTTTTGCCCATTTTAAAAATTGGGTTTTTTTGGGCTTTTTTAGTGTGGCAATTCTTTATATATTATATTTGTTCCAATATCATTTGTTAAAAAATGCTTTCCATTTCTGTCAATTATATCTCAATAGAGCTGGGAAAAAATCTCTTTCTTCCTTACCTACTTTAACTTTGACATCCCTGCTAAAAATCAGCTGACAGAGTAAGTGTGGACCTATTTCTGGACTCCATTCTATTACATTGATGTAATTCTCTATTCTTTTGCCAGTGCTACTTTGTCGTGATTACAGAGCCTTACAGTGAACCTTGAAATCAGGTAGTGTAAATCCTCCAAGTTATTTTCCAGATTGTTTTGGCCTTTCTGGGCCATTTGCTTTTCCATATAAATTTTAGAATCGGGTTTGGGATATTGGTTGTAATTACAATGAATACTGAGTTTGATATGGGGAGAATTGACATATAACAATATTGCATCTTCTCATCCATTCACATGGTATATCTGTTCAGTTATTTAAGTCTCTAATTTCTCTTAGTATTTTATATTTTTCATTTGACATAGAATATGTTATATAAACACTGCACACTGTCCTATTTAATTTTTTACAGCCAAATTTTTATTTATACATGTTTATTCTTATGCTATAAATTAAGATTTGGTATGGAGATTTTCCCCATGATAACCTTTTGTAATGTGTGGATGAAGAGACCATCTATTCTGATGTGACAGTGCTAGAAATAGAGGAGACTAAAACAAATAGTCTTAGAAACATTTAAGCTGAAGTTTACAACTGTATAGTTATTAGTATAATTCTTTTGGCTTGTATGGTTATGGATATATTTATTAACTTAGTCCAATAGTTTTAAAATCAGAAGTAAAACAGAATCTTATCAGTTTAATTGGGGCATAAGTTTTTACCAGAGGATTTTGAGTTTGTATTTTGTAGTTGCCTTCATTTTTCCTCCTTTCATTAATAATATTTATGGAAATATGCAACCCTTAGAAATGTATAAACAAGAAAATAAAACAAAATCCTACCATCCAGAAATCACTAGAGTTAAAATTTTTCATATAGTTTCTCATATACTAGTATGTAAATGTATGTGTGTATTTATATAGGTCACTATTGTATGCACAATTTAGTTCTCTTTCTTTCATTTAAACTTATGTCACTACCATTTCCCATGCATTAAATGCTTTATGAATAATTTACAACATCTGCCATTATAATTCAGGATGGACATGTAAGACACCCTTGAATTTGCTCAGGTTTTCTTGTAGGATATTTAGTTGCCCTCCCCCTCCTCTTTTTTTTTTTTTTTTAAATATTTGGCTTTGAGGGCATGCTTGTTCACAGACTGTCCATATTTTGAATTTCTTTTTAAAATATATTTGTTTTTAAGTTTGAAACATTTTAACCAAAGTATATAATGTGATAGACATCTATATACTCATCAATAGTAGTAATTAATTGTTTATAGTTCGCTTCAGATAATTTGTTTAGGGAGAAGATACAACAAAAATCCTACCCCCGGTAACAATTTATGTCATTCTGTTGCATGTTATAGTGCATTTAATACATGTGTATCCATAATATTTTACTTAACAGCTGTCTGTACTTTTGAATTTTATATGAATAATAAACTATCATTCTTTAAAAATTTGCATTTTTTTTACTCAACCATATGGTTTGACATTATTCATACTAATTCTTGTAGATCCAGGTCATTCTTTTTATCAGAATGAGCCAGTTTTTCCTTTCCCCTTTTGAGGAATAGTTAGATAGTTAGGATGCCACAATAAACATTTTTTTATATTTCTTCTGGTGCTTGTCTCTTAAGTGCTTGGACACTTACAGGTGGTAGTGTGGCATCAAAAGATATGTAATCTCCAAATGGCTCTCCAAAGTGGCGAGGCATATATGTCCTTCCCTACCAGCAATTCCCATTACTTTACGTCCTCCCCAACCTTTGGTTTTATCAGACTTACTGTTTTTGCCAACTTGATGGTTATGAAATGGATAAATTTTTTCTTTAATGTGTTTCTAGAAATACAGTTACTAGGATAAGGAGTATAAGATTCTGTTGCATATTCAGCGAAACTTTTTATCCATGGAAACTGTATTCTTTTAAATGTCCATTAAAAAATATTCCCAATCACAAATTAAAGCTTTTAAAGAGTTTTGAATAAAAGCATTGTTGTTTATTCACAGTGGAATATAAGTGTTTTCTCTAAAGAAATATTATATATCCCAGCTGTAAGACTGATACCAGAGAGTTTTCCTAAAATGCAGTAACTGTTATTTTATGACATCTGTGTATATAATTTAGATGATAATTTGCTTAACAGAATCCATGACTGATTTTACTTCCTGTGAGCTTTTTTGGGGAATATATTTAATTTTTTGTAATCATATATATATATATATATATATATATATATATA